CCCAAAGCCCACTGACATCAGGGACCTGACATCGACTTCGGTGAGATTTGGAGCAGGAACTGTGTATTTCAATAATGAACTTGATCAAATCCTTTAAATTGAAAAAAAAAAAAAAGAAAAAAGAAGTAGAAAACAGTTCAGTAAATAGCAGCCATGAGTACGCTTCTGGTTAAGGCATAAACAGGTTCAGAAAATGTCACCAGCCCACACAGGCACAGCTACTGAAATCTCCAGTGATGGAAAAGGTCCTCAGTGCACAGTCACATCTGTAATGATGCAAGCTGCAAAGGGTAAATAACAAAAATAGTACTTTGTAAGATTTTGTGAATAATGCAAGACCGGTGTCTGCGACTGCAGGAAGCTCTCTAAACCCGGGCACAGCGTGCCTGCCTGCACGATGCCGGAGCCACCCGGCCCCCACAGGGAGGTCTGTAAGCGTGGAGCTCACTGCTGTGCTCTGCGAGGAGAAGGCCCTGCCTCTCACTCTCGCAGCATAGTCCCGCTGGGAAAGCTCTCCGCAACTAGGGAAGGAGCAGGCTGGTCTGTCGGCGGAGGGAAGAAGGAGAGGAAATAATGAAGGCAATTCCCTGGGAGATACTGAGCAGAAAAGACCTTTTGACCTGTCTAATGGCTGACATACGAGACTCATGTACTGGATCGATTGCTTGGACAAAGGCGAAGGGTGCCTGAGCCGTATGACTGCCGGGAAGACCGCAGAACCACCGCGCCTGGGGAGCTGCACGGGGCTTGGCGTTGAGAGGAGGGCAACCTGGTTGCTTGGTGGGAAGCAGAGGTGGGTATCTGAATTTCACATGGACGTGCTTCAGACTCGATAGGATTTGATTCAGACCTGGGGAGCGGTAGTTGCTAAAACGTTCTCATACAGCCTGAATGGGACTTTCATATTTGGTAGCTAGATAATGTGGCACTGGATGCATTAAAAATACAGGGTGAAGCCCTGTCTACCTTTGCCATTGTGCCAGTGGCTTCAGGGCAGCAAGGATTTTATTCAAGGCAGAATAGAAAATTATTTGCCCGTAAAAAGCAGTGAAAACGTTAAATATCCTTTTAAAGATGAATCGTGGCATAAAAGTGTACCTGTAAAACAAACACCAGAAAATTAAACCACGGGGCTTCATTTTGCTTTTGCCGAAGTCGGTGTGACTCCCGCTTCTGATTTGAAAGGCAGGAGGAGCGCCTTCCTCCCAAAACGTTGAGTCACACGGTCGTAAAACTGGTTGTGAAAAAGCCTCTTGCCTGCAACCCGAACCTTAAGAAAGACGAAGGGGGCGGGGGGCAGGAGATT